AACTCACTCAACTTTGCACTGATAGTGTCCCATGTCTACATTAAAGGAAACACTTCATGAAACCCGACCAGAGCCGGAAGAGGGAGGGAAGAGGGGAGGGAAAGGGAAAAATACCTGCTGGATATATTTAGCTCGGGTCTCAGGGAAAACAACTTGAAACGAAGACTCTTCGAAAAACGGACCTTTCACGTCATCCTCATTGAATTCAGGCTCCTTCCAATAATCAATGGTGACCGTTTCTTCCCGCGACATGGTTCTTTATCCGACTCCAACAAAGGGTAATTTTTTATTCTCCAAATTTCCAGAACGGATAAACAAATAACCTGCCTTAAACACAAGTATTTGCGGGGAAAATCGTGTGTGCACACACACGATATTTAGGACACGCAACGCATTTGCACCATGTTGATGACCGGCTGGACGGTGTGCTCATTGGCCGTTCCCCCAGTCCACAATGGTAACAAGGTGGCACGTGAGCCGTCCAAACATAAGACGCGATGCGGGAAGCTATCAACGGGGCTAAGCTTAGGACTTTGTGTCCAGTGACGGTATTTGTCTCTTTCGTACTCTGTCAGCGGGTGCACGACCACGTCTCCCACATGAACCAACGGGGTGATCCTTGGTTTCGTCAACTGACGAAGAGCCTCCATGCTTATGGAGCACTCCAGTCTGTTGCGCTGGCTGAGCATCCGGGTAGTTTCTGTCGTGTATTCGAACCCTTACCAGTCCGGCATCGACGGTTCATGTCCGGTCACAGCGGCTGACGGACTGCACCCTAGAGAAGCATGTGGCGTAGCGTTGTGGGCAGTGACCGCTAACGCAGGTGCTTCCCTCCCGGTCGCCGTGGCTAAGGCTTTTTTTCAAGAATCGATGGGCGGTTTCATTTATGGCATCGCCCTGTGGGTAGTGCACAGCGCATCTGACATGGCGAATTCCGAGGGCTGACATCTCGTTGGTGAAGCAGTCACCAAATGGCGACTTATCCGTGAGAGCCGCATCAGGTGCCCCATACTCAAGATGGACCCAAACACCGGCCTTTCGAGGGCAAACTTCCGATAGCTCTCAGGAGTAAATCGACGGCGCATTACACATAGCTCCAACACATAGATCAATATGTCGCTCCAACCTTTCTCTAAGGTAGGCCAGCTATCAGCTTCGAGTGTCCATCCAATGACTGCAGTATAACATAGCCTCCAATCAAGCGGCGGTGTATCCCTTCCCAGGCTGCGGGATATTCAATGCAATGTCATCCCGTAGTTGGACCTCTCGAATGCCTGCCGGTGTGCCTCTTCCCATTGCCATTTTTTCTTTGACGATACAAAGGCCCTAATACCTCTGGACGTCCCGGGACATGTGGCGCGATGTATTGTACCGATCCCAAAAACGTCAGCAACTCCTTTCGGGTAGGGGTTTTCTCCAGTGCTCTAATCCTATCGGGATGGACACTGCTTGTCCCCCGCTGATTAAACGATGACAGCTCCCGAACAAATCTCCTCTGCCAACACATGCTCCATAATCCGCTGAAACTGACCTGGAGAACAGCGATGTCCTTGTGGCAACACATTCCACTCGAATGTGCCCACCCCACTCACCACGAAACCCGTGCGTTTCCTACTGTCCTCCGCCAGCGGTATGTTCCAGAAACCGTTTCGAAGGTCCGCCCCCCCCAGGGCACCTGGAGGCTAACTGGGTCCACCTTGGCCACGCCAGTCGTGTTGACTAAATCCTTTGTCAAGTCAAGGACATGTGGGGGTACGCCTGAGGATACCACCGTCTCCTCCCGAGGGACGCACGGGGCAATCAGCGCAGTGGGTTTTCCTCCCTCCGGCGCCACCAGCCGTTCGCGAGGATGCACCGTGAGTGCAAACCACCGATGTCTAACCCATAGGTACCACTGCCCACTCCGCGCAGCGGCTGGCTGTTGACACCCACTAACCGTTCTGTGTCCTCATGTTCGGTATAAGGGAGATCGTGTTGCTTCAAAAAGTCACGACGCACCGAACAGCGACAGCAACCACCGTCTAGAATCAACGGTATCTCTTTCCACGAAGACGCCGTGCGCACCTTCCCCATCACCTTCAGAACCCCCGTTCTCCAATGGTAGGACAAACGGCGCATACCATGTCCATGTCCTCTTCCTCCTCCATCCCAGCTTGTCCTTGCGGCGGAGGCACCAATAGCTTGTTGGCGGTTTCAGGAGATGCTGGGTTAACGCCGCGTTACCCAACTCCAATTTGTCTCTTTAATTATGCTGATTATGGACGTTAACCACCGGACCCCGCTTTCCCAATGAAATAGAAGTCGACAGCTTCGGGTGTGGGTCTGGGACGTGGTACGCTTGACATACTCGCGCAATGTGACCCTTTCTTTGGCACAGATTGTACTTCACGTACCTCAGCCGGCAATTGGCCCTCTCGTGTGAATCGTCGCATACAGGAAGCGCATTTCCCTTGCAAATTGACAGGTGGAGGAAGCACGGGAGCCACCGGCTCGTCAATCGCATCCATACGAGAGTGGGCTGGCAAGGTTATTCTTTGTACCAGCTGCGGCAGCGAAAGGTCCCAACGATCCACCTGCCCCTCCAGCAATGACAAAATCCGTGAAGGTAAAGCCCTGAAAAGGACTGCATGCGAGACTCGACCGGTCAAAGGGAACCGGAACTGATACGCGAGAGAAGCCATCATCATTTGGTCCACCAACTCCTCGTGAGTTTCCAACATGGTTTCCGAAGCGCCTTCCAGTCTGAGATCCATCAAGCGATCTAAGGTCTGGTAAAAATACTGATGCAACGTCCTATTAGTTGCGTGCACAGCCCAGGGTGGAATTCAGTCAGACCCTGCGGAGTGATGCTATGGAGACTGGGCAGGCGGAGCGCCCTTTCCCATTTTGGACGCGCATTGCCCGTCAACACTACCTTGGATCGTGCAATCCAATTGTTCAAGGTACCCAGAGGTCGTCCACCATTTGACTTATTCTCCTGGGCAAACGGGTTGACTGCAGTCATCGGGGAGCGTCGGGATTTTTGGTGCGCGTGTTTGTGCGCACACACTTTTGTGTGCGCGGCCTCCGAAAATATGTAGCCGCATTCCTGGCGGAACATTCGCTCCCAAAATACATTACCCCCAGAACGCATAAACAAATAGACTTAGACGAGTATTTTGTGCGGACGAGTATTTTGTCCGGTGTGCTGATTGGCCCGTCGACGATCGTGGAGGCAAAACTAGCAGCACCCCTTAGGCGCAAAAAGGACAAGGATCGGGTTGTCGGGCTGGAAATTAATTGCTAAGAGATGCGGGTGATCCCCGCCGGTCATCGCGAGCCGTCTGTGCACGCACGGTTGCTACTGGCGGTGTTTGACTCCGTTCGATTGGGTGACAAAGACGGAGGCCGAGTGAACGAGTCGGTAATCGGCGGGAGTGGTTCAGTGAGCGAACTTATTTCGGTCCCTGGGTCCTCTATGATGGCCCCCGAGCCCCCTATGATGGCCCCCGAGCCCCCTATGATGGCCCCCGTAGCCTCTGTAAGTGGGGGGCTGAAACGTAAGGGGGGTAAAGTGGCCGGATCGAAGGAGGCAAAGAAGCGCCGGTCCAGACCAGAGGATATGTTTGGCATTTCGTGGTTACGTGAGTATTGGGCGCCATTGAATCGTTCTAAGTACGAGGAGTTACGTGGATGGTGGGCTGGTCGCTATGGATTAACAGTAAGAGGATTATTTGGTCTAGCTGGAGACTCATCTGAGTTTGAAAGTGAGGGGTGGACTTTGGCGGTTGAAGGGAGACGATCAAGACATGCTCCACGTCCATTGTATGCTCCATCGCTTGGTCGTTTGACTAGTTTTGCTCGTTCATGTTGTTTATTTCGAAGTGAATATGATGCATTTGCTTCACTGTATGGATCGTTGGAATCGAAGTCATGGGAATCCCTTAAGAGTATTAAGTTACATGATTTTGGCAGGTGTAACCTAGCGTATGTAGAGCTAAGCACGATTATTACCATGTTCTTCGACTGGCCGTATGGTCACGTCGATCGATCATTAGAGCACACACTCGCACGCGATATTCCTAATCCTCGCAAGCGGCATCAATGGATTACCGGATGTCTACTTAGCTACTCAAAAACACCTCTCAACGATCTCGTCAACTTCTGCGTAAACGCACTCAAGTACAAACCAATACCAGGTATTACTGAATGCTTCAAATTCAGCCAAGTACCTCTCAGGACATATCTTAGACGAACTGCTTGTCCTCAAGCCGCAGAACAGCTCCTCAGAAACCTCACCAGAATGCCCACCGTTACACCCGCGGAGTTCATTGAACTACATACCCGCCGATCCCATCAAGCGAAACAAGACAAACGCGGCAACGAACTCACACCAGAAAACTTTTCGGAAGCTGCTGCCTCCGAAGCTGCTACCTCCGAAGCTGCTGCCTCCGAAGCTGCTGCCTCCGAAGCTGCAGCCTCCGAAGCTGCAGGCAGGAACCTCGTAGCTGCAGGCCGGAGCCTCTTAGCGGCAGACCAGAACCTCGTAGCGGCAGACCAGAACCCCGAAGCCTTAGCGGATGATCCCGTGTCTGCGGAGGCCGGTGTCAAGGAGTCGGCAAGGGCATGGGAAAGGGAGGCCCGGTGGTTCTGTCGTTATTGGGAGCCATTCGATGAAAAGGAGTTCGCTTCCTTAAAAGGTTGGCTTAATCACCGTTTAGGTGTAACACTGCGGTACAAGTTTTTACGCGCTAAGTCGCACGCTGAATTTGAAGAGGATGAATGGTCCACAATATTGGATACGTCAGTGTATGTTCCATCGTTGAGTACGATGACAGACTTTGCATCGAGGTGTGAAGTGTTTGATAGTGACTTTGATGCTCATTTGAAGCTGTTGAGATCATTATCGGTAGACTCGTGGAAGCGGTTTAGAAGTATAAAGGTAAAGGACTTCAGTTCATGTCGAATGGACTACTTGGAGATGGGTGCGATAGTATTGATGTTCTTCAAATTACCGTATGGTACAGTAGCACCTCAAACGGTTAGTCTCGGTAATGGTAGAGATCGCCTTGTATGGATCACTGGTTGTCTGTTACAGTACGCACAGGTTGCTATTTCGGAGTTAGTGGACTTTTGCATAAACGAGCTTAAGTACAAGCCCCGTGACAATGGAGTACTAGAATGTCTTGCAACGACCAAGACTCAGTTTCGTACATACATCCGAAGGAAACTCAGCGATTTAGGATCACATGCCCAGCTCTTGGCAAACGTGGCCAACTTACCAGTAATTTCTGCACGCAGGTTCATGGAAATAAAACGAGCAAAGGAATCGCCGTTTAACTCTAGTTCCGTTCCCTCCAACGAAGTGCAGCTGGCTACTGACGAGACGTTACCGGACACGGACACAGAGGACACCCAACCGATAAACACGTTGCCGAATGACAACGTAACGCCCGAACAATGTAGAGCGTATTGGGCACATAACTACTGGCGCCTTCTCGATGCACGCACGTACAGTCTGTTGAAAGATACTTTTGACTTACCTGCAGCGGACGTAAGTCATCATCGTGGGGGGTATCAAGACAGAAGTTATCAATTTTCGGCTGACGAGGAATATCCCTGGTGGTCTAAATTAAGAGCTGCAAGAAGCGGTATGTACATACCGATGTTATGTAAGGCTACGAACTTTGGTTTTCAATGTGGTGGTGAGATGCTGCAGGATGGATATAAGTCATATCTATTGTTGCATAGTTCGTTATCTAGTTGGGAAGGTCTAAGAAAAATTCGGCCTGGTGACTTTGAATCTTGCAGTTTAGCTTACGTTGAATTAGCGACCATAATTTCCGCCTTCTTCGTTTCACCGTATGGGCTTGTAGATGAAACGATCATAGAAACCGTCGCTCGCAAGATGAATCGCAGATCCCGTGGCCGACGATTGCGCTATTGGATCCAGGGATGCCTGCTACAAAAGTCAGGCACGTCCGTTGGTAATCTTATCCACTTCTGCATTCTTAAACTTCGGTACAATCCCAAGGCTCCCCCAAGAATACCACACCCCAACTTTGGATCCAACCGGCTGGAATGCCTAAGACGAACCACCTCATTAACCACCCAACGATACAAGAACAGACCATGCTACAATGATGAGACCCGACGATCTATTCTCTCCGAACTATTAGCTGGACTACCCGTCGTCACAGCCGCAGAATTCGGGAACATGAAGGCATCAGAACGAGGCTCGGAAACAGTGACTGTCTCAACAACACGCGTTGTCTCAACAACACACGTACAGGCCTCCGGACCAGACCCAATCTTAGAACCACAACTAGCCGGCGACGAACCACAGGTGGCCGGCGACGAACCACAAATGGCCGGCGACGAACCACAGGTGGCCGGCGACGAACCACAGGTGGCCGGCGACGAACCACAGGTGGCCGGCGACGAACCACAGGTGGCCGGCGACGAACCGATTGTCAGCCTCCTGTCGAGTCTGCAGATGAACAGTGAGGAAATAAGACGGGACGCGACCTCGGCCGAAGACCGAATACAACCTCCAGTATTTAATCGCGACAACGATGAGTCGATCCTGCAGTGGTCTCAACCGTTGGGCGGTGACGGTTGGAATTTACCGGATATCCTCCCGTCGTTAGAAGCTGATCAGATGCCAGATGCACCAGGGGATCAACCTCATCAGGATCAATATTGGGACCGTTTAGACGCTTGGGATTGGTCAGATATTCTCCCGTCATCCGGACAAGAAGAGCCAGACAACACAGTTGAATCAGCCATCGATACTGAATTTTGGCAGCGGCTTTTGGGCCAGCCTTGACGATTGGTGCGTGCTGGCGCAACATGCCGCTATTGGCGGTTGGTGTACACACATATACAGAGGATAAAGGGACAAGAAGTCTGATTTCTAGGGATCAATACAAGAAGAAAATGCCTGCACACGCGCGTGTGCAGGCCATGTAACTTACTTAAGACCTGCCATGTAACTTACTTAGGACCTGCCAGCACCTGGGGGCAGGTATCTGTTCGACAAGGCGCCTGATGTCTGTGTTCGGTAAGGGTCGGCGTTGCGCACCCTTGACGGATATCCGAAATGATGTATTGCTCGGTGTATTTCTGATGTTCGGCTTCCTTGTAGCAGGCGGATAGTGCTGTGTGCCAGATGTCGTAGTTTTTGAATGCGCGTCCCTTCAGCAGTGTTTTTACCACTTTTTCTTCGGCTTTGCACGCCGGCTGCCGTCCGGAGCAGCGTTGCGAGTCTCTGACCTGAGGGCACTTGATGGCGCCGCAAAGAATGGCCACCTTTGCAAACAGGAGGCCAGTCATATCCATGGCGGCAGACCGTTTGGTGTGGAACCGCGGCTGAAGGAAGACTGAGACCAACGGGTCTCCTTTAGCGAAAAGGATCTGGTCCATCGAAGCGAGGTACGGGTAGATGTAGCCGCTGTCTACTTTCTGCTTCAGACCGTCGTACGCCAGCGGCAGCGCTTTCGGATGCATCTGCCTCAGCAGCGCCCGCTTCGAGAACGACTTCAACTTCTGGATTGACTCGAGCATGATGCTCATGAACAATCGCAACGACATCTTGTGGTGCTGTACCAACGCGCCCAAAGTCTGGTACTTTCGACAAATCGGTTCCTCGTGGCAGCAACGCCCATCCAGTCCGTCAAGACAATTCGACCCGACCCGGTGGTCCAACTCCAGCGCCTCACCGGGCAGCGCCTCACCGGGCAGCGCCTCACCGGGCAGTGCCTCACCGGGCAGCGCCTCCCCGGCGGCAGAGTTTTTCTGTTGCAGCAGGGTCAAGTGGTAGTCCACGCGTCTGCGTAGCCGCCGGGCTATGCTGCCCCGGACCTCCACTGCCGACGCGACCCGTGCAGGGAAAGGCGCATAACTACGGCCGACGAGGCGCTGGAACTCTAGCACGTCGTCGCTTGGTGTCGCGGCCTTTTCCCGCCAGACATCCGCCAGCACGGTCTTAACGGCGCCAGGTCGAGCGCTGGAATCACAGTCCAGGCACAATCCCTGTTGGAGCCCGGGAGAAAACACTGTCAACATTTTGCCGTCCTTCTTGAGGAACCCAATCACCGTCGGAGCTGCAGCTGGCGTCGACCGCGGGACGGGCACCCGCTCCCCACTCATCCCGGTCTCCACATTCCAGTTCCACGCTTCAGCCACGTCCGTGGACTCATAACCCTCACCCCACTCATCTTGCTCCCAAGGACCTTTCATCCACAGGTCTCCCTCCCACAGGTCTCCCTCCCACAGGTCTCCCTCCCACAGGTCTCCTTCACACAGGTCTCCTTCACACACGTCTCCTTCACACGTCCACCACAGGTCTCCTCTCTGGGGTCTTTGACTCCAGCGAGCTTGCTCCCAAGGGTCCACTCCAAACGGGTCGTCACCAAACGGGTCGTCACCAAACGGGTCGTCACCAAACGGGTCGTCACCGAAAGGGTCTTCCCCGAAAGGGTCTTCCCCGCAGGAGTCTCTTCGGAAAGACTCTCCGTCTTTCTCGACCGGGCATTCGCCCCAGGACCCAGTCGTCAATCCACTAGACGTCTGACTCGATGCATCCCCACCACCAGCAATTAGCGCAAGTTGCCATGGCCTGGGACCCTTATCACAACCCGCCAGAGAACCTCTCATCAGCCGGTGCTTAATTAATCGACTCAATAAATGGCCTGAATATCAGACTCAATAACTGGCCGAACGTGTGTGTGTAATACTCTAGCCTGGCCCAGTTAGCGGAACAGCAAACCCAAGGAAAAATACCTTCCGCCGTAGCGGCTAGGAGAGTTTAAAGTGAGAGGTAGAAAACAGCTCGGACGAATGTTTTCGTCGAGGACACAACAAGCTGGAAAATAGCGGCTGTCGTTTCGTTCACAACACGGCTCCACCAGCTCTGTCACGGTCTGTGCTACTCGTGTCAACCGGAATCCGAGTTATATTTTATCGGCTTATTGAGATGTTCGCCGGTTGGTCAATATCCCCTCCCCCCCCCCCCCGGCCCGAAAAGGATGGTTCGGATGTTTGCGAACACGCTCCGGCGAACATGCCCGCAAGTTGCTTGATGACAGATTCTACTGAGTTGTTAGTCTACTCTAAGAAGCTGTTACTCTAAGAAGCTGTTAAACAAACTAGCGCCTGAACCTGCATTGACCTTGAACGTTGGCGTCAGTGGTCGGGGATAAAAAAACCCGCTTCCGGAAGAGGCATGCGCGGGGTCGGATTGCGAGGCCGGTCGTTGCCGGCTGACGTGGTGTTGGCCATGCTAATGGTTGTGCCGAAAAGATATCAGGCATACGTAGAGAAGTCGTTGCTTGAATGCGAGAAGGATTGGGTGAACGCTTTCTGGAACCCTTTGGAACGTAGCGTATATACAACGTTGCGGACGGCGGGGGTGGATTCGAACGCACGACGTCAGAAGTGGAAGAGATGGCGAGACGTATTTCGTCGGCCCGGGCGTGACTACGGGGCGTGGGCGATGGTTTCGTCGCGGCGGAACTCCATTGGAGACGAGTCCTCAGTCGGGCACGACACGATTCGCCCCGTGTACATCCCTACGTTGTGTTCTTTGACGGCGTTCGCTCGGGCATCTTCCCTCTTTGAAAAAGACGACTACGCCGCATATGAGGCGGTCCACCGTCTGTTCCCAACGGACGCTTGGAAACGTTTGACCGCCGTCGCCGGCAAGCAGTTCCACTGGTGCCGCATGGACTACCTGGAACTCGGGGCCATATTGTCTATGTACTTCGACCAGCCCTGTGGTGACGTAGATGAACATGTCCGGGAGAACGTCGTCAGAAATCTCGGCCCTTCCGCACCAGCGGTCAAAACCGATTTTTGGATACTCGGTTGTCTTCTACAAGCCTCCCGGGTCACAATTGACGCACTCACGCGTTTCTGCGCTATACGTCTGAAATACAACCCCCAACAAGACAACCAAGGCCGACCGGCGGGTGCACGAAGGTTTCTATGTTTGCAGAGGCCCGGCGCCGACGACCATACGAGGCCCGGCGCCGACGACCATACGAGGCCCGGCGCCGACGACCATACGAGACCCGGCGCCGACGAGCATACGGGACCCGGCGCCGACGACCATACGGGACCCGGCGCCGACGACCAGACGGGACCTCACGGCCGACTACTCGCACTGCGAAAGACTTTGGCGAATTTGCCGGTTCTTTCCGCGGAACATTTTGGACCATTGACCCAAGACACATTCGAGGTCATGTGGTTCCGGAAAAGACGGTCCGAGTTACACGAAGAGTCGCCACCCCGTCAGGTGAGGAGGACGACGCGGAACAGCACGGACGCAGACGATGAACTCGGCCTGGGTAACCAGCCATCGGCTCCTCAGCCATCGGCTCCTCAGCCATCGACGATTACCGAGCCGATGGTGCAGGACGTATTATGTGTTTACGAATCGGACGCGGTTACCAATTTAATGAATGGGTTATCAGTAACAAACCCGTCGCCGGAGACGGACAGGTCGGTGGACAGGTCGGTGGACAGGCGGGTGAAGTCGACGGAAGCAGACACGTGTTTATTGGGTGACTCGATTGGGTATTGGCCATGGTTGATGGCTCCGCATACAGATCGTTTAGTCTACATTTCGATTCCGATTCATCAGACGGTGTTTGGTCAGGATTGTCGGTTGTTCGGTTCGATGTCAGAGGCGCACACTTCATTGGTGAAGGCGTTGCCAACAGCAGCATGGCGGCAATTGGGTCGATTGGATACGACGATAGAGTTTGGGAGATGTGATATGAAATATTTGGAGTTAGGTACAATTTTATCCATGTTTTTCGAAGCTCCTTTTGGACAGGTAGAGCATTGTGTAGAAGACATTATAGTGAGAGAAATGGGTATGTTTCCCATTGCTCGAAGACGAAGACTTTGGTCCACCGGTTGTCTTGTACAACATGCGGCTGGTGCCGCACCGTCCCTGGTCTCACGTCTGATACAATTCTGCGCCCATCAACTGCGCTACCGACCTCGTGATCATGGCACATACGAATGTCTAGCCAACGAACCGGAGTCCCTGGACAAATATTTTACACGCTGTCATTTACCACCCTCTATCGCCGCTCACAAACTGCGCTCCAACCTATCCGAATTGACCACCATCATTACAGCATCCCAATACGCACGGATGAGACAAAAACCCTCTACTACTACACCTGATATGTCCTCTACTACTCCACCTGATATGTCCTCTACTACTCCACCTGATATGTCCTCCCCTACTACACCTGATATGTTCTCCCCTACTACACCTGATATGTCCTCTACTACTCCACCTGATATACTCCCCACTATTTCTCCAGAAGATGTAGACAAGCTGGAGCCCGTGGTACTAGACAAATTGGAGCCAGACAAATTGGAGCCAGACAAACTGAAGCCAAAGATAAAAGAGGTAGAGACAAGGGAGCACAAGTTATATATTGATCCTTTAAGTTGGGTTGCGGGTAAAATGACTGAATTTGGTCGTAGTTGCCGAATATTTTCTAGTGATAGCGAAGCTCGTAAGGCGTTGTTAGGATCATTGCCGATGTCAGCATGGGAGAAGTTGAAGAGTTACGGGACGGAATGTTCTATGACATGTTCTATGACATGTTCGATGACATATTTAGAATTAGGTGCAATCATTTCGTCCTTCTTTGATTGGCCTTATGGTCGTGTTGAGAAGCACATTGAAGACGCAGTAGTAAGACGTTGTCCTGAATTGGGGCGTCTACGTCGACGTTTATGGATAACGGGATGTTTGTTACAGTTGACGGAAGCATCAATTCCCGAGCTAGTAAGCTTTTGTGTAGATCAACTTAATTATAAGTCTGATGGTGAGTATGTATGTAAGAGGATACGACCGTTACAAATGAGAGCATATGAGAAACGTATTCGCGTATTAAATTATCGTGCTCAATTGAAAAAAATGCTGACCGGATTACCCACGTTGACCATCCATCAATACGCCAATATGCGCGCCCGAGACTTACAACCTCGAGAAGGACACTTACAACCTCGAGAAGGAGACTTACAACCTCGAGAAGGAGACTTACAACCTCGAGACTTACAACCTGGAGAAGGAGACTTACCGGTTCAAATCCAATCGACGCCAAAAAAACGAGTGTGGGAATCATGTCCGTGCCGGTTAACCTCGTTCACTAGAGAGTTACAAAGAGGTGGTGGTCTCTTTAAAAACGACACCGTGGCCTATCGAGCACTGCAAGATTCCCTACCAGATGAAGCATGGAAGAAACTGTCGGAGATTCAACTTAAGGATTTCACCGCTTGTGGTTTAGACTATGTCGAATTAGCCGCTATAATTACAAATTATTATGAGAATCCTTACGGCCGAATAACACCGTATTGCCGCGATTATGTTGCTCAAATGGTACATGGTACCACAGATAGAAATCAACGTATAGGTGGACGTCATCGAACTACCATTTGGATACAGGGCTGCCTCTTACAATATTCTCAAGTCGATACTAATACACTTATCGATTTCTGTATTACTCGACTCAAATTCAACCCTCTTCATATCACTGATCGAACCAGGAGATTGGAGTGCCTTCGGACCCGAATGTCACCCGACTCATATCGTAAAAGGAGATGGCGCCTTGAAAAGCTACGTCGAAAATTACTCTGCGAAAAATTGGATGGACTACCTACTGTTTCTGCTATGGAATTCGGGACCATGAACAGCAATTTTACTAACAAAGACAAAGTCTCTAACAAAGACAAAGTCTCTAACAAAGACAAAGACCAGAATGACGCTCATTGGTTACAAAGGTTGGTCGATGAATGTGTGGATGATGTCAGGGATGATGTCAGGGATGATGTTAAGGATGATGTCAAGGATGATGTCAAGGATGATGTCAAGGATGATGTCAAGGATGAGCAATGGACACCCCAATTTCTCGACACCCCAATTTCTCAAAGTTTGAAACATGAATTTGATACCGCCGATCGATTGTGGGAACAATTGATGGGCAAATGGCAGCCAGGTGTGCAACTCCCAGTACTGGAAGCATTGAACGAATCTGCAATGGCCACTAGCCCAACCAACGGCACAACAAATTTATCCGAACACTTGCCGCACACCGAACAGTTGTCGCACATCGAACACTTGTCGCACACCGATCAGTTGTTGGAAGAGTTGATAAATGAATGCCAGGAATCTGAACCAAACTTGTCGGCAACTGCTCAAGTATACAATAATCCAAAGTTCGATCTACAATCAACAATCGCTGGTGATCAGTCGCTGGTTGACGAATCAACACAATCAAGAACAGCCCAACATCCCGACAACTCGATAGGTGTTGATTCGAACATTAGTAAATGGTTGCAAGAATTTATTGATGAAAATCTGGATGTACAATCGAACGTTTTAAATGAGCAATTCTCAGTCCTGAATGATCTTGAGGAACGATTATCGGAAAGTGATCCACAACAGGGAACCTGCCAGTCCGTAACGGAACAAACTACTCTACAATGGTCACCTCAACATGACGACGATGCACCAGTATCGGACTTTCTGTATCAACCGGAACATGTGTTTCAACCGGAACATGTGTTTCAACCGGAACATGTGTTTCAACCGGAACATGTGTTTCAACCGGAACATGTGTTTCAACCGGACCATGTGTTTCAACCGGAACATGTGTTTCAACCGGAACATGTGTTTCAACCGGAACATGTGTTTCAACCGGACCATGTGTTTCAACGTGCTGGATACCGGAGGTT